GAGACCAAGGATCTGCTGTCACCTCATTTATCAGGCTACAAGGGAACATCTCTCATCTCTGACACAAAGTCCCCGTCATAACTCAGGGTTAAAATTATCCCTTAATCTCAGCTGGCCCCCATGTCCACTCCAGAGACCTTGCTGCTGCTGGCAGAGCATCCCAGCTGCTGCTCCATGGGATGCACCACACTGTGCTGCTGCTGTGACCAGCATTTCATGCTCCATCGGCTTTGGGGGATTTTTATTTACTTATCTGGAAAAAAGGCATGAGGGAAAACACAAGACCCATATTCAAAATCCTTTTATGTTCTCAGTATTGGAACATTTTCTATTTTCTCATCAAAACTCTTTCAATTAAAATGTTGTGATTAGTTCTGATTCTTGGCTGGTTTTACCATAAATACTTACACTGTTGAATTTGCCACTGTATCTCCAGAAGAGCTTTTAGCCTAATGTTTTTACTTGTAACCACTGAAGTTCTCCAAGACCTCACTCATTTTTTCTGTGCCTCTCCAAAATCGTGTCTGATGGACCATGGGAATAATCAGCTGCAGGTGCTCAGGTGATGGAGTTTTGCTGGGAGCAAATGTGATCCATAAACAAGTGTAATACTCATTAATTTTACCCTCCTTGCCTTCAGATATATCTACAAAAAAAAGTCTTGGCTTGTAGTGGGAATCCAAACCCCATCTTTTTCCAAAGGGACCTTTGAATGTGTGTTCCTCCAACGATCACCTTGGAGCACAAAAGAATAAATCTTTGCAAAGCCTCTGATTTGCAGGACTTTGTTGAAGCCCTCTGGGGAGTTCCTGTGTGCAGTTCTGTGCTCATCTTCTCCATCACAGCTGATGGCTGCTTTCAGTGGTAACCCAGGGAAACCACGCAGTCAAATAATTTGAGGGACGACTTGGAAAAAGTGAATCACGTCAGGAGGAAGCTCAGCAGAGCCAGGGGAGCAGTTCTCCCTGCAAAAGATTTAGGAAGAGTCACAAAGCTGAGCACTGGGTTCTGCTTTTGTGTTCCTTGGTTTTGCTGTCCCTTCCCTCATGTCTTTCTCACACTCTTGTTTGGAAAGAAGAAGCAAACTCACACAAAGTTGAATTTTCTGTCTCACACAAAGTCTAGTTTTTGTTGAGCTAACCGTGAGGCTGATAGCTGCATCGTTTTCCCTTCTAGAAGTCTGATTTAATTCCCACAAGTTTCCATTTATCTTCTCATGGCTTTGTGAGGCCCCATCCTCAGCTTTGCTCCCTCTGCTGTGTCCTGCAAACCCCTGCATAATTGCAATGATTCCTATTTCATAATAAAATCACCTTTGGCAGTAGATAGCCAAGAGAAAGGTGGGATGAACATTATCACTAGAGAGCCAGGAAGGCTCAGAGCTGGGGCAGGGCTCCCGATGATGGAGCTGGGGAGGTCATTGTCACCACCCTGGGGACAGTGAAGGTGTCTGAGGACTGTGTGAGTCACAGAGGTGTCTCTGCCACATCCTGGCATCCACTGAGTGATCAGATACCTCAGCCATGCCTGTGGGGGCTCAGAGTCTCAGCAGAGCTTTGTGCTGGAGCTCACCCTCAGGTGACACCAGTGTTGTCATTGTCCTGCTCAGCACAGGACAGGAGTGACTCGGGTCTCTGGCTGGCACTGCTCAGGCAGTGCTGGGAGGGAGGGTTGTTGTTCTGTATGAGACAAAACACGATTTGGTCCTGAGGACTAATCCCATCCCACAGATGTGCCAGCCTGGTGCTTGAGCAGCTTTTAGGATTGCACTGATCCCAGCAGTGACAGCAGCATGGAAGTGGGTTAGTGGTTCATTCTGCCCTGCCACTGGCAAACATTGCAATATTGGATTTTTTTCTTCTTTTTTTTTTCTTATGAGGATTTAGCACACAGTCACGGGGTTTGTGGTGCTGTGTTTGTGTGGGTTTTTTAGCCTAGAGAGCAGCCAGGGCTAAGCTTTTCCATGCACAGCTGTGGGCACTGAGCTCATTCTGCCCATTGTGGTTCTGGGCTCTGGTGGGTTCACTGTGGTGCAAACACGTCAGTTTTGAAGGAGAGGAGAATGGAGAATCAAACTGAGCCGTGCTTGGTGAGAGCAGAGATGAGGCCAGACCCCTGAGCTTGTGCACCTCAACAACCCTGAGCACAGGATTATTGCAGATCCAGCATCACACAGACTGTGCTTTCCATGGTGAGCCAACAAATCCGAGACTTTCAGGTCAGAAATGAGCCTGCACACTCTCTAAACCCTGGGGCCAGAGGAGTCTGTAAGATCTGTAAAGCTCCAAAGGCTCCCATGGGTGTTCACTGACAGCTGTAGACACTTCAGCCCACTGATGTTAGGAGACACTGTAAAAAATCCCACTAAACACCTCTACAGGCCTTCCTGCTCCTGAACTTTCAAATATGTAGCCCTGGCATCCCAGACCAGCACCTCTTGAGCAAGTGGGAAATTTTCCTCTGACTTTGGAGAGTTGATGGAGGCACCACCTCCAGCAGCGTGCAAAGTCACCTGAAAATGAAGTGTTGCTGCACTGATGTGCACAGTGTGCTGGGTTCGACAGAAAAACAGGGAATATAAAGGGTTTGCTTAGGAAAATTGGCTTTTCTAGCCCTTCTGTACTTCAGGACTTTGTGTTTGCAAATGATTCATAATTCTTTCAACAAATTAAAACATTCTGCTACTGGGGAAAATATTGATTTGTAAATGTTTTAATTTTTTTTTTGTTATATGAGAGTTTTCCTACAAATCAAGGCAGGAAAAAAAATCTTTGAATATAGCCTTTGATAGAAGGTACACAATATTCCCACTTTTACCATAACAGTTCCTAAAAGGGAAAGTCAATGGTATTCTAGCCAATTTCTCAAGCTCTTTAAAAGACTTCACAATGCAATTTTGGAATGAATCAAGGCTTTTAAGAAAGCTCGGAAAAGACTTTTAGAGTTCTGCAAAATTATATCAAGCAAGTCTAATTTACAGCTAGGGCAAAATTTTAGAATGAAAACCAATAAATCCTGAATCTCAGGTGACAGAGTGAAACACTTCCAGAGTTAAGTGCTGCATTTTGCTGATGTGCAGACGTGGTTCAGTGGTGGGGAAGGACATTCTGCAGCTAAAGCGACAGAAATTGGAGTGAGGAGCTACAGGGTTCAGTTCTTAGTCTGACCTGGGAAATCTGAGCAATCATTTCACCCCTGTGCGCCACTGCAAAGGATAAATAGTTGTTCTTTACTGCTTAATGATCTGTCTTAGCCTGTGGAGGCCACTCCAAAAGATAGCTCTTCTTTATATTCAGGAGGCTGTGAGATCTTTTAGAAGCGTAGAAAACTGCTTTATAGTTAACAAAAGAGGCCATTAGCAGCTTGTAATGGTGGGGTGTATCTAGGAATTCTCTCATCCAGCAGAGGAGCTCTGTTATTATTACAGCATAAATGGGAGAGGATGTTCTCACCATGTGGGCGAGAGACAAAACCCGCGGTACTTTTGCTTAACACCTTGAGCTCCGGAGCACAAAATTGTACAGGGACTTGATCCATCCAAAGCAAACCTGGGCAACAGCAACAGAGCCTGTCTTCACCAAAAGAGGACTTTCTGCTTCAGATGGATGGACAGAGAAAGCAAAGTCCTTCTAATGTGCCTCTGCTCCCATGTGCTTATTTCCTTTTGCTCATTTTCCTTATTTCCCTGCTGCTCATTTCTTTTACGTGTGCCCTGCATCGTCTTGGGGGTGTGGTTGGGTGATTCCCACTCAGCCGCAGCATTCCTGAATCCCCCAGAGCACAGAGCCCACCAATCTGCACCGGGTACAGGGTGTACAGAGATCCTTGTCCCCGTGGTGATGGGGACATCTCCATCCCAGCAGATGGAGCACCTGTCTCCAGGTGAGGTTTTGCAATCTGCAGAGGGACCTGGCGTGTGCTTGGAGTGCAGGGTTGATCTTTGTCCTACCTCACTGAGGTGGAGGATAAGTCACTGTCTGGGGAAGAAACCAGCCTGCCTTGGAGCCCTCCTGCTGAGCAAATTCCCTCTTGAGTTTTCTAGTTTCATCTTTTTGTCATTTTATCACTTCTAACACAATTGCTTTCACAGCGATTTGCAGCACGGTTTAGTTCTTGTCAATATTTTGAAATTCTAAATGCTTAAAGGGCTTTTTTGATTTGTTCCACACTCACCTGAGTGACGTGCTGAGCCTCCTCCTGTGCCATCCAGCAGAGAGGATGAGCTCTTGGGCTTAGCAGAGCAGCTGCCCATCCCACCATGGCAGCCTTGCAGATGTGCAGGCAAACCCCACACGTGCCTGTTTCCCTGGGCTGCCCTTTGCCAAGCTCAGTTCCACTGAGGTTTCTAAGCAGCAGCTTTTCTGCATTTGACATGAACTGTGACTCCTGCTTGATTCAATCACTGCTTAATTTGATCCTCCATTTAATTTTATCAAAATTGTAGTAATCAAATAATTCGTACTAAAAACATTATGATTTCCACTTGTTTATTCTGATCAATTTTAATCCTTTAAGGCACAAGGTTTATTTAATTTAGTTATGAGTAACAAAACGCTGTCATTAAATCTACAAGGAAAGGACAGAAGACAAAAATGGTAGTTAAAAAGATCCCAAGGAGTGCTCATAATGCAGAAAAAAGACAATAACACAGTGTTATTTAGAAGTCACGCTATGCATGATGAAAGCTAAGCAGCATCCTGCTGGTTGGGAGATGAAAAGATCAATGGCACGTTTCAGTCGAGACATTTCTGGCAATGAACTGCACTGAAAAGGGGGAAAGAATGTAATTACATATGAATGATTTTGCCTTTTTTGGGTGTTGACCGACATGAATGAACCTGCGTCAGCAGTGTTTGAGTTCTGCCTCTCTACAATAAACCTTCAAAACCAGCTGAGTAAGAGCAGGGAAAGATTTCCACTGCAGGCTGCTTTGAGAAATAAAACCCAACCTCCTGCTCTGCTCATCCCATCCCTGACTGTGCCCCGTGTCTCCCCTGCAGGTCAACACCTTCATCTCCTTCGTGTTCCCCATGGTCGTCATTTCCGTGCTCAACACCATCATCGCCAACCAGCTGCTGGTGATGTTCAAGCAGGCGGCCCAGGAGAACCAGGTGTGCACCATTGGTGGCCAGCAGACCATGCTCAGCATGTCCATGGAGCCCAGCAGGGTGCAAGCCCTGAAGCACGGCGTGAGGGTCCTGCGTGAGTATTCCCTCCCCTCGGTGTGCAGCCAGCCACGGGTGTCTAAAGAAATAGAACTTGAAGAGTAGCAGGTGGAAATTGGAAAGCACTTTCACCCCAAAACAGCCCCTCCTTTTGTCTTTGCTTGTTGGTTTGCAAAGTTAACGAGCAGATCTGCTCATTGTGGAAAAGCAAAACCAGCCCAGCATTTTAATGATTTAGTCGACAGCAATTTAAGCCTTGCTTGTATTGTTTCATTACTTCCCTTTTTCTGCGGAGCTTTGGTGCAGACAGAGCTTAAATAAAAGATCCTGCACTCAGGAATTGAGCTGTACTGCAAAACAGTGGATGTCTTGATTAAATAAGCTGAGGAAAAGACCAAAGAGTCTCGTAGCTTAACCTTAGGAGGATAAAGCAAAAGCTGTTCAAAGGTAGTACCCAAAGTAGCTAACAAAGTGTGCCCAGAGTGGTTTTAAACGTTGGATGGGGAGAATTTGTTAGCAGAACGTTTTCTGATGTTCTGGTGTTTTTAGAAGGGTTTGAGTTGGCAGGGACCTTAAAGTTCACCTGGTCCCAAACCCTTCCCATGGGCAGGGACACCTTCCACTATCCCAGCTTGCTCCAAACCCTGTCCAACCTGGCCTTGGACACTTCCAGGGGTGGAGCATCTTGGTATTTGAAGTGCTTTGGCCCAGACTTCGTTTCCAACAAGAGAAATCCCTAGGGAGGGCACCAGGAGCCTCCATGACAATTTCCCAGCTGTTTTTCACAAGGAATGCATCCCATGCAGCACCTCTTGCTCATGCCATAGGTGAGCACTGTGTGCATCCCAGCTTCCTACTGGGAAACACCTGCTGAGAAAGGAAAGAAAAACAGAGGGGACATTAAATTCTCCACAGTTATCTTGCTGGACTGTGTTTGTTTACTGTCTCTGTCCCCCAGTGAACTGTTATCCATGGGTGGGTGAGGAGGGAGCCTTGCTTCCCCTGCAAGGACTTGGGTCCTTGCTATCCTTTTCTGTTTTTTAACACTTCTGCCTGCTGCCATGAAGTGAGAAGCTGCCTTTTCTCACTCGTGCTACACCACCTCACACCTCTCTGCCTCCTTTTAATATTGTATCCTCTTTGATCATCAAGAAGAGAGAGCTCTTCATGAATAATAGCAGAGAAACCTAAATTTACACCTGGCATTCCTCAGCACTGGAGGAAGTGCATCCCTCGCCCACAGGTCCACATCTCCTCTGAGGCACTGAAAAACAACCCTTCACTTTCTGAACAATAAGCATAATTTTCTTTTTCATCTTATTCTGCTTCCTCTTTTTTTTTCTCCAGGAAAATTTTTGCGTTTGCTGTGCACTGCAAAAGCTGAGAATAGTCGGCAAAAGTGAGGGTTTCAGTCTGAGATGGTTCAAAAATGGGTCAGATGTGGCACCACAGGGCCCCTGTGCAGCGATGCCCAGGTATTCCAGGCATCTCCTCAGGGCCACCCCAGCAGCAGGACTGAGCTCCCCTCCCTGCTGGGAAGGCAATGAGAGGGCAGCTGTTTGTTCCATTTCTGTGCTGAGGAAGATTCAGCAAATAAAAAAATCCTCCCTCACTTTTGTCTGTGATTCACTCCACCATGCAGAAATGCTCTCTTTATCTAGCAAATGGGAGTGAAATCCTGCTGCATTTCAGTTTTTCAGATGCACTTGATTACTGGAGGTGCTTGATTCACACTCACATTTGTCACCTGTTCCTCATGAGTTATATGTTAATAACTCAGGCCTCTGAGCTGTCTGAAAAGTAGCAAAAAATACACAGGGATGCACATGATTTATCCCAGCATCCATGACAGCCAAAATCATGAACAGAGTCTGGGCTCATTTATGGAAGAGGGTGGGAAAAGAAAAATGACACTTGTCCCTCCTTATAAAACTGTTGGCAGAGTATCAGAGCTTCATGGAGGTAAAAGTATTTTCCATTTCCAAAAGTAAATTTTGGCCTGAACTACAGAGGAGGCTGATTTGGGTTTAAGGGCAAAATTTTTCATAACTTGTAAAAGTAATGCTTAGAAAACAAATTTTTGTAGTTCATGGTGTGCAGAGCTGTTGGACAAGATCAGAGCAGCAAAAAAACCCTTCCTTTTTCCAAATGTACTGAGATTAAGTATTTGTTTATATTAAAAGAAGAGCTAAAAGTGGCCAGGCTAACAGCCTCATTCAAAACGTCCACAACAGTTTTCCTCCTTTTTGGTAGCATTTGTGTATTTTCTTGGCTCTGTCTGGCTTTGGTCATGTACAAAATAATGAGGGTGATCAGAATTAAGGAATGTGTCAGGCCTGTTGCCTGGGAGCTGCCTCATTAAGTCAGTAGGGATGAGATTCCTGATTGTAATTCCCTCTCTTCTGTCAGAGTTCACCAGGTGTGAGGATTTAAATTCAGAGGGCTCCAGGCACTTGCATCTTCCCAGCTTTTTTTCTGAGAATAACAGGGCAAGCAGTTCTGTTGTTAAAAATACCTTCCAGCAAGAGATGTCACACCTTCCTTCATCCTTCCAATTCCTTCCACTAAGCCACCTCCAATTGGTGTTGCTGTTTCTTGGCTGTGTTGGAGCCTTGGAATGCTGAGTCTCCCAAAGCTGTGTGATGCAGCACAGAACATTCTCTGTGTGAACATTCTCTGACTGCACAGCCTGATATCCCAGTCACTTGATAAAATTCTAAGTAATGCTTAAATATTTACATGCAAACACGCACCAGAGCAATCATAGAATCATGGGATGGTTTGGGGCCCTTAAAACTCATCTCATTCCATCCCCTGCCATGGGCAGGGACACCTTCCACTGTCCCAGGCTGCTCCAAGCCCTGTCCAAGCTGGCCTTGGACACTTCCAGGGATCCAGGGGCAGCCTCAGCTTCTCTGAGCACCTGTGCCAGGGCATCACCACCCTCACAGGGAACAATTTCTTCTTAATGTCCAGTCTAACCCTTTTTTTCAATTTAAAGCCATTTCCCTTGTCCTGTAACTCCAAGCTCTTGTCCCAAGTCCCTCTCCAGCATTCTTGGAGCTCCTTGAGGCACTGAAAGGCTGCAACAAATTCTTGGAGCCTCCTCTTCTCCAATTGGGCTTCTCTTAGCCCAATTCCCTCCGCTGCTCAAAAGTCAGGGTGTATTTGATCTTGGCTCAGGAGGAAAGCTCTGTTCTGCCAAAATATCTTCTGGAAAAGGGGCCAGTTTTGTGACATGGACTGATACCCCACCAATTCACCTGCCTGCAGCCCCTTCTCCTGCAAGCAGCCTCAGCAGCTCCTGGCTGCCTGGCAGATCAGCTCCACGGGGATGGAAGGAAGGCAGGAGTTGTTGAATGGCACAGCTGAGCTCTGATAACGATGTTGAGACAAACTGAGGCACATCGAGGGGAGGTTTGCAAGGGAACGTTGGCTAAGCCTATTAAAATCAGGTCCAGGTAGCATTTGCTCTGATACTGAAGCTGCTTAGTGAAAGCAATTATTAAGCACTTAGAGGTTTAACCAATTAAAACAATATCCTTCAGTCTCCCACAGCTGGCTGGCTGATGCCTCAGTAAAATGTTTTTTAGTAGATGAAGTCAAGCCACATTTTTTACTGAGCGTCTGTGAATTTTTAAATTATGATTTTAGGGCCTCTGCATTTTGTCAAGTAATACAAGACAAAGGCCAAGAATTAATGATGTATCCATGTATTTCATTAATTTGTGCATTAATAATTCCCCTTCTGAACAAATACTTTGAAGAATCCCTTCATTTCTCTTCACCAATGCTCCAAGTCTGAGTTACTCATTTCAGGAGGAGAATATTGCCATGAGATTTAGTATAACCAGCCTACAGACAGGAATAGCTTATACTTGGCAACCACAATACACAGAAGAGCACCAGTCTAAAACTCCTTAAACAGTTGTATTTTATAATTCCTATATTCTAAGGAAAGCAGATTTATTTGTTCATGAATCATTTCTTTTCAAGAAAGGAACAAAATGCATGGCAGTTTGTATCTCTAATAAAAAGTCTGAGCAACTCCAAGTGGAGTTCAGCAAAACCCCTGTGGCATTAAGCTTGAGTGGAAGCTGATTTTAACAGCTGAAATGTCACACTGAAATTTGGGAGGATAAATTACCTATTTAACAGTTGTATATATTTCCCAGAGATGTTTGTAGTTGTAGGTTTACTTTGCAGCCTGCCAAGTGAGATAAAACAAGCAGCATCAGAGCACTCTATAAACACCCTCCAAGGAGCAAAAACCAGGGGTGGCTGCACCTCTTGGGGCAGGGAGTCTCTTTTTTCCCCTCTCCCAAGATGTGTCCCTTTGCTGGCACCACAGCCCAGCCTTGCACAGCATTCCTGCAGGAATTGCAAGTTCTCGTGGCTGCATCTCTGCAGAAAGCTCCAGGATTTGCCATGCCCTGAGAGCAGATTTTCCAGGTGTTAAGCCGTGACAATGTGAGTGTTTAAAAAGTTAACTGGTGTGATTCTAAACATGAAGTCTGGCCAGGGCTTTAGTCAGTGTAGAAGCATGCAGTGAATACAGCTCCAGGGTCCCTTTGATGGGCAGAAACCGTTCTGGGAGGAGCAAAAGATATGTGAAACTCAAAACTGGAGGGGAAAGAAGAAAGAGCTGCAGAGGAAGCCAGTTCAGTTTACCTCTGATCTCACCAAATAGAAGCAGACTTGAACTTGGTGAGGATGAGATCCCTTCTCCACCTTTCAAAGGGGAAATTCTCTTCCTTTCTTCTTCCTTCTCCTCCAAACATCCAGACATCCCCAGGGGAAATGGCACGAGTGAAGTTTAAATGGAATCAAGCAACCTCTTCTCTAGTTTCCAAAAGAATAATTACCTTAGAAGGAAACTTGGGAAGAGACCCCATTCTGCACTGGGACAGCACTGATGTGCTGCTTGCTAGTGCCTGTTCTTGGGCCAGCTTTAATCTGTATTTTCTGTCTTGCTCCTTATGGATGAAACTGCTGCCAGGGGATGATTTAACCACTGGCATGAGCTGGGGCAAGAATTCACATCTATTTTCCAATCTGTCATCTGAAGCCATTAAAAATCAGGACTGGAGAGTATAGTCTGTGTGAAATATGTTGATTTTGAATGCCAAAAGGTTTTTTTATTCACTGTGCTGTCTCACTTTCACTAATAAAGAAGAACTTAGGGATTTTCATTAATACATTCAAGAGCATTAGGGGATTGTATCCAGCAAATGCTGTGTATTTTCAGCCGTGTCTAAAGGAGCTGAGGACTCCCCAAGCTCATTGTTACTCCTGGTTTCTTCTTTGCTCTCCTGAGTACTCCTGGCTCATGCTGGTGGTCCCCAATCCCTGCTGATTATTATTGACTTTTATGGAAATCCTTTATTCCACAGCTTTATGACCCAAATACCAGGAGAAGTGGTTTTGATTTTACTGGGCTCATACCTACCCTGGCAGCTCCTGCAATCCCTACTTTGGGGCCAGCTGATATAAATATTGCCAACAACCTGTCAGGTAGAACATCATGTTAATATAAACAGCACCTCGAGGTTTAACAAGGCTGTGCCAGCTGTGCCTGCACTTGGCCCAGCTTTCACCACCTCTCATATCAAACAGCATTTTGTGAGAGGTTCTCCTGTAATGGCACCGACTGAATTAGTATATAAAACCCAGGAGCTTGGGATGTACAAGGATTGCTTCTCCAGAAATCAGCATTACCCTGACACGAGCCCCATAACCTTTTGTACACCTCAAATAGTACCAGCTGGTGGGTGTGCACCCCTTGGGCAGCTTTGGGGATGAGTCTGAAGCACAGAAAAGGCTGAGAGCTGTTGTTCAGGGAGGTTAATACCTCCCCAAACAGCTCCTGCCTTTGCTCAGAAATTCTACCGTGCTGTTCCACATCTGTATGTGGCTCAGCTCCCCTTCAAATGCAGAGAAAAAGAAATAAATTGTCTGAAATAGTCTGGACAAAACTATCAAGGGAAGATGGATCTGAGGCTCTCTGGGGGCCTCACAGCAGAGTGGTTATAAGAAGGAGCAGCCTCCCTTTTCTGCCTGTCCTGCAGAGACAGGAGGACAGCACAGAGGGATGCCCTCGCCAAGGGCCACCCCAGACCGCAGGGCTGTGACTCAGCAGTCCCATGGGGGCTGGAGGAGATGAAGTGAGGAGGAGAGCAGCAGCCCAGTGAGTGCTTTGTGCCACAGCAGCTCCCCAGTGAGTCAGTGCTGGTGGCTCCTCAGCCATGGCTGTCCCAGGCTTTGAGCCACCCCCAGCCTCACATGGCCCCACCAGGGGCTGGGGGCTGGAAACCCCTCCTGAGCATCACTCCTGGGCTCAGCCAAACCAGCCAAACTTCTGCACAAACCTCATGCCCATGCTAACCCAGAGATGGCCCTGGAGCAGGGCAGTTCCCCGGCCTCAGCCCGGGATACACACAAGGCAAAATAAAATACCCGGTGTGATCTAAGAGAATTTAACTTCCAGGATTGCTCCCACATCCAGTTTAGTCTGAGAATCGACACTGGCACAGTTTAAATCTCCTGCACAATGAAAAATATGTCAGTCAGAATTGATGTTGCTCTCTGCAGGACTTCCTGAAGGAAAAACAAACCAGGGCTCGTCCTCTGCCACTCCTCCTTCCTCTCCCCTTTTCCTTGGTATGCAGCTGAAACAGGCAGAGAAAAGAGCCATTATAAGACAAAATGGAAAGACACAGGATGTAATAATTCAGGGTTTAATACACATTTGAATTGGGAGTTTGATTTAGAAGGGAAATGAGGGCATACATTGTTGGAAGGATCATTCTCTGCCACCCCTGGCACGCTGGGGTCATCTTGCCGGGCTCCCACATCCACATCCCAGCCTTGAGGTTTGGCACCTCATTTGCTCGAATATAGGAAATATCAGAAGCTCATGGAGCAGCTCTGCTCCTGTTAGAACCTTATTGAATTAATTAGAAGTGAGGGATGTGTCTGGTTTATTTTTAGTTCAAAAAATAAAGGCAGGAAATCTCCAACCTCACAAACACCATCCTGGACGGTCACCCCCCCACACACTGAGTCAAAGCCTTCCCCTGCAGTGCTCAGCTCCAGCAGGCTGATCTGCTTCTTCTTACTCCACCAAAGGAACCCATGTGTCAAGCTTTTGGTGATTAAGAACATCCTAGGAGCTCATAACAACAATAAAAAATCATTTTGGCAGACAGTTTATCCAGGATTTGTTTTAAACTCAACCATTTTGACAGGCAGGTGCTCAGGGAAGAACAAAACAGCAGGGAAAGGAACAAGGTACCTGGGAGAAAAGGATATTTTCATTCTGTATTAAGTAAAAGTTAACACAGTCTCATGTTTTGTATTCCTCCCAGGGAAGAAGACCCAAGAGGGCAGGATTGCCTCCCTAATTCTGCTTGATCCCTTGTATGATAAAATGAAAACATAAGGATTAAGGGTGACAAATTCAGGTCGGGATCTCCTAATCTGTGCAGCACAGAACTGCACAGTGTGTCACCCAGCTGGGACTCCAAATCAGACCATAAGTGTCTCCAGTGCACTTCACTGTTTTAGAGTTTTAATTGCGTAGTGATTGCATGTGATATTACAGAATTATCACAGATTACTTAATTGCTGATGTTAAGCAGATACTTCTTTCAATGTGTGTTTTTGTTACTATAGATCCATATTATTTGGCACAGCATTGCCTGAGCAGCAGAGGCAGAGATCATTTACCAGGAGAAAACCACTTTCATTTAACGTGTTGGTAAATTTAACAAGCAGATGTGTGAGATTCTTATAATTGGCTGTCGAAAGAATCCGGATCCTGCCGTTCCTAAAGAGCTGCACACAGGGGTGAGCAGCTGAGGAGTGCCAGTGCGTGGAGCTTTCTGCAAAAATCATGATGTGCCTGAGTGAATCTGTGTTTGGAGCCATTTGGGAAGCTGCTTTTGCAGCCTGAAAATGCAGCTAATCATGTGCAGGCGCTGGGAGAGCAGATGGGCTGGAGCTGTGATGTTGGCTCGTTCCTGTTGGCCTGGGGCTGACGGATGGAGGAGGAGAGGATGGAGAGTGCTGCCTCTCCTGCAGCCCCTGGGAGGGGTCTCCTGGAGAATCACAGGGACACTGCTCCATCCAGGCCAAACCAAAGGCCCATCAGACAGAGAAATGAATTTCTGGAGGTGGCCAAAAGCTCAGAAATGCGAAGGAGCAAGGCAGGCATCCATGCTCCCACCGAGCTTCCCAGGGGATGTCCCCTCCTCTCCTGTGCCATGTGTCCTGCAGGGGCTCTCCTGTCAAAGTCCCATCAAAGCTCCTCAGAGAAGGATCAGACCCAGGTCAAATTCATTCACTTGATGGCATCTGAAGGGCTGCAGGCTGTCTGGTGATGAATTACAGCTATGATCACTGTGGCCAGCGAGCAGCCAAAAAACAGTTTGAAAAAATGAATTCGCTTGGACAAGAGAATAAAAACAGTCCCTCTAGCCTTCTTTCCAAAGCATGTCCCTTCAGTTGCTTAAATCTTTATTAGATAAATGGCTTTTGCAGCATTCCTGGAAGATGCTGTCATGCATGATGGAATAGAACCTTCTCTGTTGTTAGCTGGGTGTTTAATGAGAGAGGGAGCTCATGGAGTTGGAGTGGGGTGTGAGTATGGGGCTGGACACCAGAGATTATTTAATTTCTGCTCTCCTGTGCCTCTTGGCTAAACATCAGTAATGGGGAGATGCAGCCACAGCCAGACTGGTTCCTCCTGGACTGCATTACCCAAAGGAAACACATCTTCTGCACATCTTCTGCACATCTTCTCCTTGAGCTACAACATGGTCCCTGTGGGATGACAGTGCCTGGGTTTGGGACATATCCACATAAATATTTTCAATCCCAAGGCAAATAAAACCCCAACCATTGGCTCCACGTGCCAAATCCACATTGCACTTGTGGTACCTCTCATTGGAGCAGAGCTTTGCTGCTTCCCAGCCCCTTACAGGTCACATAAAGGACAAGAGTAGTGCGTCCCTTGTTGTCTGTAGAGCAAATTTGGGACCAAAAATTAACTTAGTTATTTTATTTAGCCTTTATTTTCTTCTTGCCTTTTATTGTGTTATGTTTTAACTGAGATTTCTTGATTTCCTGCTAAGATTCTGCCAGAAACCTGCTATTCCATACAGAAGTTGAAATGCATACTACAAAAGGAAACTATTCTTTCTCTTGATTGCCTGATAGATCTACTTTTTAATCCAGACTGACAAATGCACTCTATCAACAGTACTTTTATGCCTCAGAGTTGTTGCATTTTATTTTCTGTTGTTTGACATCCCTCAGAATCTGGAAAGGAAAAAAGCAATAATGTCTTTCTCTGCTTACCCTTTAATTGATCATTTTTATTATGGCAAAGCCCAGACCCAAACGTGTTGTAATATCAGGTATGGCACAAATGTAGAACAAAAGGACAAGCCCTGCCACTGGAAAGAGCAGTTTCATGATGCCCAGCACCGTGGGGACTGTGGCCAGTGGCACAAACTAATGGGATTAGAGTGGCCCTGGCTCCCTGTCTACCTGGATGAAAAGCATCACCAGCTGTCTCTGTGAATACTTAGGATGAGATACCCGGTGCCACAAGGGCGTGACACATAAATACAGACAAAGTTTCCTTTAAGCCAGTGTCTGAACTAGGCATTGCCAGACCTTCATCTGCACCTTCTGTAGCTCCTAAAGCCCCTGCCCCAGTGCTTAGTGCTGTTCTCTATTACTTCTGTTTTGCTTGTTTGTACAGATATTTGCAGGCGGGTTGTCCCTCAGGGTTATTAATTCTTTGCACTACAGCAATACAAGAACAAGTGGGGCTGCAGGAAAACAGTTTCAGCAATTAAAGCCAAGCAGACAGGTCCCCTTCTGACCCTGATGGAGAATTGCTCACAGAGTCAAGGATTTTTTTCCTGCCTTGCAGGTGCTGTGGTGATTGCCTTCGTGGTCTGCTGGCTCCCTTACCACATTCGGCGTCTCATGTTCTGCTACGTCCCCTCCAGCCACTGGACAGAGTGAGTCACAGCTGGGACACAGCTGGGGGACACAGCTGGGGGACACTGTGGGGGACACAGCATGGGGACACAATGTGGGGGACACAGTGTGGGGACACAGCTGGGGACACAGCTGGGGGACACAGCATGGTCCCCCCATGCCAGCCCAGGCTGGGAGCTCGGGGCACCCACAGATGTGGAGATGGAGGCAGGGATCTGGGAACAAAGATGTTCTCCAACCCAGGGGTGAAAGTCTCAAACACCTAATTGCTGGGTTTGGTTGGTTTTTTGTTTGATTCTTTGTTTGGTTTTGGGGTTGTTTTGTTTTGTTTTTTGTTTATGTATTTGTTTTGGTTTTGGTTTGGTTTTTTTGTTGTTGTTGGGTTTTGGTTTGTCTGTTTTTTTGATGTCTCAGTGCTTGCCAGACAAATTAAGAGTCTTTGTTTTACCTAAATCCCCCAGACACTTGGTAGCAAGCATTACCTTGAACCAAAACTCATCATCAGCCCCTCCTCCTCCTCACCCCCGCTGGCAGCAGCGATGGGGCTTCAATCTGGCACCCCCTGATGAAATGACATTTGTACGGGGGGGTTGGTACATCCAGAGTGGATTTCAGCCTCTGTGTCAGAGATATTGATCCCCAGCCCTAAGATGCAGCAGCTCCTGTCAGCACACAATTTAACTCCACGAGGCCACACTTCCTCTCTGACAGGGGAGATGACACAGGTAGGGCAATAACTGTGCTCCTTACTGAGTCTGGGCCAGGCTATTTACTGTTTTCTTCAGGGAGTGGGTCAAAATAAATACCAGCAGTTGCTGCTGATTAGGAAGTGCCCAGATTGTCAGAGAGTTCTGAGATAATTGCATGATCATACATGCACTGCTCACAGACGTTACAGAGCCACCCCAGCAGCTCCCTGCTCCTTTCTGAGGCAGCAGGCCAGCAAAGCAGCCACCAAACTAATAATTATTTTTAAAAATGTCATTAAGAGCTAATGCTGTCTGGGGACACACACTGAGGAAGCCTGAGATGCCAAGGGATGCACTCTTGTGTCTCCTGCCATGGTGCCACATCCTGTTCTCCCTGAGACCAGGACTGTTTCTTTCAAGGGAAAGGAAAAAAAAATCTGCAATATCAAAAAGCAGAACAACAATAAAAACCTAAAATCCCATCAGCCCCAAACACAAAATATAAGGAATTAGGATATAGCAGTCTACTGAATGGAACTATGGATCCAGCCATAGTAAAATCCAAAATCCATCTTCAGGCATGAAAACAGAGCTCTAGGCACACACTAGGACAAACTCCTGTTTCTCCTTTGCTTTTCTATATGAAAAGCACTTAAAGCACTGTTCAATTATCTGCATTTGCTTTGAGCAAGAGGGGTAGAGAAGTTTTTCTGCAGTTAGTGGGAATTTATGCATCATGGCTGCTTCACATAATATTTTTTTCTTCTTTTTAAAACCATGAGTGATTTTAGGAAAACACTGAATTTACAGAGTGATAGTGAACTATCAGTCTGGTGGCTAACCAAGAGTTAGCAGCAGCTTGGCATGTTCATTTATAAACACATGTGCCTTGGCCCTGAAGAAGAGAAATTTTTCTAACATTAATTCTTCACAACAACACAGAGAAACTCTTACAAGAAGAGCTGGATGGGCCATGCAGTCCCTGGCAGTGCTGAGGGGGTGTGGAGGGATGGTCAATGTGGTCCAGCACTCTCTATTTATCTTTTGCTAGACACTCAGATTCAGACTAGAAAAAAGGTCTGCAATTTTCACCAAGAAAAATGATTCTGAGGAACGCCTTCCTGAAAATGAGACCCGTGGTGTTTATAAATGCTTTACCAGCTCGGGGCTGTTGTTCTCAGTTGGCCAAAGAAAGATATTTCCAGAAGTATAAAAAAATAATAAAACATTTTCAACCAGTTCCAGTTCAAAGCATTAAATTGTGGTGGTTAGGATGTGTTTCAGAAGGATGCTATCACCAGCTTGCCCCCAGAACAGGAAATGCTGTCCCACATTATGGACAAATCCCAACCCAGGGACCCATTGAATGAGCTGATGCTGCTCTCACTGCCAGAGGGAGGAGAGAGCTGCATCTGTTACTGGAGTTTGGCTCTTCTGCAACCTCTGTAGATCAGAACTGCAGCCAAAAAGTCAAGCTAATGTGTATGTATGACACAGAAGCAAATTTCCATCTGGCTTCTCAGTTTCCAGAATGCCTATTTCCAACGTGAAAAATGAATGCACGAGGTAAATATCTTGTCTGGCTCTGGGGCTAAATAAGTCTCTAACTGCTGGTGAGTGGGGCAATATCTTCACAGAGGCACCTGATCCATGTTTGGCCAGTTGTAGCTGTGGATGGGCGGTGGTGGCTCAGGCACCACTGCTAAGCTAACCTAGAAAGGTTGGCTGTAAAGCAACTCAAGTTTTTCTCACCCTTGTGACTTTGAGTTCTTCACATTCAGATTTTTGTCTTTCATCTGTTCTTCCAGTTTCCTTTACAACTTCTACCACTACTTCTACATGCTGACAAACGTCCTCTTCTACGTCAGCTCAGCAATCAACCCCATCCTCTACAACCTGGTGTCGGCAAACTTCCGCCAGATCTTCCTCTCCACGCTCACCATCCTGTGCCTGCCATGGAGGAAGAAGAAGAAACGACTGGCCTTCACCAGGAAATCCAACAGCATCTCCAGCAACCACACATTCTCCAGCCAGGTCACAAGGGAAACCACGTACTGAAGCCAAAGGTGGAGGAGGAATGCAATTCATCGTGGAGTCAAAACTTGAGAGAGGCCTCTGTGACTTTCATGCATGGTCTCCAAATTCACGTAACACAAATGTGTTTAGCAAAGTCATTTTTGTTGGAAAAAATAGGCTTTGTTCTGCCAGTAACTTTGAGGTTATTTTCGAGCATTGGCCTTGCCTCTTGTGAGTAATGTCTACATGTATTGTAACTTCAGTCTGGCATAAATCCAGGTGTGGTGTTAACTGGGAAGCCAAAATGTGTTCAACTTAGGCAAAACTGTTCTGCATTTCATCCTTTTCTCAGTGCAGAGATGCCGTGTTCACATCCAAGGGTTTGAGATCCTGGTGGCACCGAGCAGAGAGCTTGATGAGGAGAAAGAAGCTTTGAACAGAAAGGGATGTTCTTGGAGAATGGATATGCTCATCTGTGGCATGTTCAATGAACGAGGAGTGAAAACTCAGGGAGCCAGGTGGTTATTTTAGAAATAAATCTCCACTGGGAGTAATATGACCGAGGTGCTCAAGAGAGCCACTCTGGCTCCTTGAAATTAAATAAGAACAGATGATGCCTTACCTAGGCTGGGGTGGCTGTGGCCTGGGGAGTGGGGTCACCTTTGGCTTTAGGGCATCCACAGTGCCTGGCTTTGGTACCACTGCACCCATGACAGCAGAGTCTCTGGCAAAGTCAGGAATGCAGAGGCTGTGCCCAGATGGAGCGCTGAAAATGAACAGAGATGGAAAATCTTCCTTCTGCCATACAGCCAAATCCTATTTTTTACCAGGGAGAACAGTTTGCTGGCCTGCATTAAGAGATGAGAAAACTCTGAGCTCGTGAGGGCTCCAGGCTGCTGAGATAAGAGCAATCTGCCCCAATTCTGTGAGACCTTCAGATTTTTCCATTCTTATTCCAGTTTTACTTGTTTCCTCGCCATTTCCACAAGGCTGACATCTCAGTATATAGCAGTTGTAGGCAGCAGGTCGTCCTGCTCTATCTTTTCTTTTATTACTTGTTGCTACCAGAACTTTTGGCACATTTATCTGCACCCCTAATATTCAGAGAGTTCAAATGCAGAGCATAAGAAAGTCTAAACTGGGGAGTCTTTGCTCTAAACCCACTTTCTTTTAACAAGGAACAGAAGAGGAGCAGAAACAAGACCTTAAAATTCTCTTTGAAGTTTCCCAGGTAGCATGAGCTTTTCTCCCATACGGTTCTACCTCCAACGGCCCCTTATAAGATAAAGGAAATTTTTCCAGAGTCTTTAGTACTGAAATAACAGGGCTCTGGGACAAGCTAAAGGGCTTTTTCCCAGATGGTGACCTGCACAAACCTGGAACTGACCAATCACCCTGTGCAGCCTTTGATGCTGGTGACCTGGTGTCTCCTTTCACACCACATGTCATCAGGAGAGCAGGATTTGTCTCTGAAAGGTGACAAAGCAGAAGAGTTGCCCATCCCATGTCATCCTTCAGCTAATGAGCCCCCGTGGTCCCTGTGTGAAGCCACAGTGCTGGAGGTGTGGATTGGCCCAAGTGAGGGTCACACAGTGATGGACACCAGTGACTGAACCACTGGAGACAGCTGCTACAGATGTTGCATCACAGAATCACAGAACAGGTCAAGTTGGAAGGGGCTCACAAGAATCATCAAGTCCAACCCCCTGGACTTGTGGTTTAGTAGGTCCTGTTGGGCTCAGCACACAGAGGAAATAACATTTGAGGGCATTTGCTGTGAGTTGTTGGTGATGAGTGACTACTTTTGGGGCATTTATAACATTTATAACCTGTAGCCAGCTGGTCACCAAGGCAGCCCATCAGCCATGACCTCCAGCCACACCTGCCAGGCATGGGAGGTGATTTTAATGCCTGGTACAGAACCCCTGCATAAGAAAGGGCTCAAAATAAAAGTCAGTGGGGCTTTTGTTTCTTCTGATTCAGCCAAACTGCAAGCTCTGTTCTGTCATGCCTTCTTGTGATCTCTTGCCCTGGTTGTACCAAGCAGAGGGCAGAGATTCTATTTGACCAAGCATTTTTGTTGCTCGTGGACTGTTGACTCCTCTTTGACAAAGAAATCAGGTAGTGGCACACAAATATATAAATTGAAACAAAAAGACAAAAGGGAGACTGATCTCTTCAGAAGGAAATCTGTGAGAAACCAGCAAGTATTTTCTGAGTATGGTGTGTGTGGAATGGCTTGGGCAGGTTGGAAGAAGAAGACCTGTTCATCCTGCCTAGTGGGAAAATCCAGGTACCATGAACAGGAGAGGGGAAAGATCTGCCTTGAGAGGAAGAGGAGTCTTGATGTCACACATTTAACATTGGCCTTCCAGGCAAGACACTTCAAAAGTTTCTGGATGACCCAAATTTTTTTACTTCACCTCTAAGTAGCAGCTGGGAGGAGCTTTCTGAAACCTCCCAGTGAAGCTGTAACTGCATTGCTTTGACTTTCATTACGATTTAACACCCTGCATGTCTCATTTGCTTTTGAAATATTAAACATTATTACTACACTTGTTCAACACCAACCTACTGAAATGTGCTTGATTATCTTAGAAAACACAGAACAAAAATTGTTGTTTCACATAAGATGCTTGGTTTAGATTTTCACTACTGAGATACACTGGCAGTTTACAGAATATTTGATCACAGCTCAGAGAAACTGGCAGGTTTATTTTTGGTTTGACACGACAGTGGGAAAAAGCTGGAATAAAAGTGAACTTATCATAAACCCTTTCCACAGTGTTTGTTGGGTCACTCGAGTGCTGAAGAGCTGGGGGAATTTGAGGGATTTATCCAAGTGGTTTGCTGACTTCTACAGCTCTGTTCTTCAGTTTAACAGGAAAGCAGACTTGGGTCCATGGCCTTAATCTGAGATTGCAGCTCAAAGCTACCTCTTCCCCTGGCTGAATCTGACAACCTCGAGCTGAGCAGTGTAAGTTACAGCTGCTTCCATCCTCTCTTCCCTCCTCACCCGATTTTGTTATATTCAGCTTAGAGATGTGGTTCCCTTGAGCTCAAAGGAGTGAGGATAGCAAACCCCCATGGTTTCCAGAGAATCACTAGACAGTTTGGGTTGGAAGGGATCTTAAAGACCATCCAGTTCCACAGCCCTGCCACAGCCAGGGACACCTTTCCCTAGAGCAGGCTGCTCCAAGCCCTGTAGAGAAGAAGAAGGTACAAATTGCCCCATATGTTCTAGAGAAACGGTTCTTTACATGCCTTTTAACAATGATTGAACTGCTAACCCAACAAGGTTTTGAGATTTAATCTGCTGTGAATGGCTTTTGCCATTAGACAGAACAAAAACTCCCACTCGTTGTGTCCCTGCCTTGGCTGCACTCTTCACTGAGGCAGAGGTGAGTGTGGGGGCCTCTGCTCATCTATGCAAATTGCCTGTGTTTGGAACTGTTTGTTTCAACTAAAAAAAAAGAATAAAATCTGTGGAATCCTCAGATGTAAAGTGCTGCCAGATTGATTCTGAGAAATTCCATTCTGAAGAGAGTCTATCAAGTGACCTCTTCAAACGTTATTTTGAGGTTTTGTTTCTCTTCACAGTGCCCTTGCCAGAGCCAGCCTTTTGGTAGAGTGTGAAATCAGGTTTATGAAGTCATTTTGCTATTCAGAAATTTCCCCCAGACAGGACCAGCTCATCAGTGCTGGAATGCTCTGCCGAGCTTGTCTTTTTCTGTAAGGTGCATGAGACCTCACTTCAGCGAGTTTTCAGGAGAAAACTCACTGGAAGATCAGCGAGGAGGGTTAGCAGGGCACGACCATAGCAGGACCTTTGCATTTCCAGCATCCAGCATTCAGTGAAACAAGCCCTGAGTGTGCTGCTGCTGCAGACAGCTCGTGCTGCAGGTTTGGACCCATCACCTGTGCAGCTGCATTGCTCCTGCCCCTGGGCAGGGACAGCAAACATCCACAGGGCATGGGAGCCCTTCCCTGTGCCAAGCTGTGCCAGCCCAGTGTCCTCCTGGCTGTGCTGTTTGGTGACTCTTTAACCAAAGCTGTGTCTGCTAGAGCTCTGTCTGGTTCTTCACATCACAGCTCGACCACTCTTCCTGTCCTCAGTCTGGATTTGCTTTGTACGAAAGCAGAAATTGCTGATCCAAAATTTCATGATGCTGTGTCCTGGCTTTGTGATCCAGAGTCCTTCCTCAGCTGTGCCACCTGATAGTCCTGCACATATTGTATTTATGGCAAATGTTTTTTAAAGTGCACCTTTTTTGGTTTTTTAATTTTATTCTGAGATACAAAATGTTGATGTGCTTTATTTTCTGTGGCCTGTTGCTCAATGGGGAAAAAAATGAATGTTAAAAGTGTGTCAGTGTCTACTTTGTAATATTTTCTGTGACAAAGGGAAAGAAGAGGGTGTGGAATCCTTCAGTGTGGCAATGGGAAACACTCAGTGTAACATGCTATTATTGATACTGTATTTACTGATCAAAGTGTAATGAGATGGTTAATTCCTGATATAGCCTTTGTACTGTATGGTATTTTATTTTGTCATTTATTGATCCTAAGAAATAAATATCCAAATTTAAGGCTTGGGCTGCTTTTGCTTGAAGTGGCAGGTGTGCTTTTATCACACAGCACAGGCACCCTGGCTGGGGTCTAAACTGGTGAAATCCCATTGCTTTGAACTGGGATTTGCAGCTCCTCTGCAGAAGGGCCCTGAGTGCTGCTGTCCCTGCACTCTGCAGCACAAACAGCACCCAAACATCACCTGCTGCTGCTGACTTCAGGTCAGCAAACAAACAGGGGACTAGTCAGGTTTGAAGGACACTCCCATCGGTGATGTTTGCCCTGAAAAATCCTTCCTGAGATCTGTTAAATGCATCACATCTGTGCTGTTGGGCAGAGCCATGGGCAGCACCCAGCTCATCCAGGGCTTGGAGCCTGGAGTGTGGGAATGAGAGCTGAGCTCCCAGACTGAGCAGCTCCGAGTGCTGAGATCCCAGTGCCACTGCAGGGGTGGGAGCTGCTGCCTTCCTGTCTGCCCTGCTTGCTTTTGCCTGCTCAGGGCAAATGTTACAGATGTTGTATTTACAGATGTTGTATCTTGGTCGTTATTCTGCAGCAGCTTTGCCCAGAAAACTGAGCAGGTTGGGGCTTTATTACACTGGGAGCTGTAGGGACACAGCAAAGGAGTCAGTTCTCACCCCAGATAATGATGACAAAGAAACAGGTTTATTGTGTCTCAACAGTGAGATTTCCCCTCCTAT